CACAAGTACCCCAAAACGAAAAAGGTGCGCCTCGCCGTCAGAAGTAGAATATTTCCTCAAAAATAACATGAGCTCCTTGTTTGACCTGTGTGATGAAGGGATCTCAATATAGTGGTCTGTTACTCTTCATTTGAAATGAGTCCCTCGTACCAGTGGCTTGTTAACGTAATGGGTTACTTTTTTAGAGTAACCTTCCCCTACACTGCTTCTCCGTGCCTGTCGCGTAAAGTCTGCCCAGAAGATAATAATTTTTTGGTTTGGGCCACAATACGTGTTAAGAACCGTTCCCCCAGAAACAAGGGACAAAGTCAAGGCAGCACAGACGGGACAGACGCTGAGGGCCCTTCTGATCCTCTCTTCCTCTCCCCCGGTTGTCGCTCTCCAGCACTTGGTGAGCGAGTGGCTGAGCGAGAAGCAGGAGCGCGCCCTGCGGCCCCCGGACCTGCCCCCGGAGCGGCCCCTGCGGATCAGTACGGACCCCGAGGTGCTGGCCACCCAGCTGAACTCGCTGCCCGGCCTGGCCTGCAGCCCCCACGTCTACAGCACGCCCAAGCACTACATCCGCTTCAGCTCGCCCTTCCTGGCCAGCCGCAGCCCCACCGCGGCCGGCCGCCGGCGCAGGGAGGTGCCCGACACCCCGCCCACCTCCGGCTCCTGCAAGAAGGTAGGCGGCAGAGCTCCCGGCGCCCCGCTCCTCCGGGCAGCGCTGGGAAGACTCGATCCGCATCCGAGGTGTCCCTCCTCGCCAGCCTGGTCCACTGATGCACGAGGCGACAGCGTCGGCGCGTGCCGTCTTTGTGCCCCGCGTTGACCTCTGAACTCTGACCCCCGGCTGCTCCCCCCTCTCCGCAGCGCTGGCTGAAGCAGGCTCTGGAGGAGGAAGGGTCGCCCAGCCCGGTCAGCCGCGCCCCCTGCCCGCTGCCCAGCGAGGTGCCGCTCAGCCCACCCCTCAACTGCGACGCTGACAGCCCCCTCGCGCTCAACGGCAGCTGCACTTTACCAGGTGAGGCCAGATCCGGCTCCTCTGTGTCACCCCAGTCCGCGCTTTGAGGATGATGATGATGATGATGATGATGGGCTTCAGCGCATCGCATAAAGACTTGAATCGTATCAATTACCATAATATCATCGTATCAATGGGGTCACAATGTATCTGGTTTGCAAAAAACCAAAACGGGAGGATTTAAGCGAGAGAGATAAGCAAGCCCAGTTTCCTAATCTTCAGGGCATTTGACCCTGTTACCGTTCAGTGCTGACTGCACCCTCTCGGTAGCCTTACCAGGATATACAGTTTGCTCTTTGGTGCTCTTGTAGATTTCAATTGCAGTAGGTTGACTAAAGGAAATCCTATCCTTTTTCATCCTAGTTTCCATTGTAACTTGTAATTAAGTAAAGGATGATAGCAGCCCCTTCAGACTTACTGCTGATGAGGACTTTTTTGCCCTCCACAAAACTGAAAAGCTCAGGCAAGATTTGGGATATTTTTTTCTTCAATATGAAGATGAATTCTTTATTTTATCAAAGTTTAATTCAAAATAATTCTCCGCTGGGGAAATGGAGCACTTCTCCATGACGATGTTGTGTGTTTTATTCCGGAGTTGGTCATGGCTTCCATTTCCAACATGATGCAATTCGAATGATTAGATCGTTCAAAAGCGAGAGGGGGCCATTCTGCCCATCTGTACCTTTTATTAGTTTAGAAGCACATTGATACAAGGATCTTGTTCGGTCGTTTCTTGCATGAAACTAAGATATTGGCTTAAGTAACATGGCTGGGTAACTTGTTCCATGTTCCCATAACACTTTTGAAGAGATTCCTCCTGTTCAGTTTTAAATGCACTTCCACGTAATTTCCATCTGTTGTTCGTGTGTCACGGGTTCTGAAAATGTCCTGTGGATTGCCTGCATCGATGCCCTCTTAGGATTTTGAATACTCGGATCAGGCTGCCAGTGTAGGTAATGGATTGAATGTCCCAGATAAACTGTACTGGAGCGCAGCACAGGCTGCAAATCTTGCGCTTTTAAAATGAAAGTAGAGTGAGAAAAGGTGTAACTCAATGGGCTTTTTCTCAAGAACCATGTGGCAGAGTCTGGTATGCTGGATCTGATGTTGAGATGCACTCAAACGCAAGCATTTCCAAGGAGTCAAGAGGACACTGCCCAGAAAGCGTGCTAGACTGTCCTATTCACTTGATTCCTGTAGGAGCGCTCTGGGGCGGGTACAGAAATTCGAGCACAGGGAGGTGTGATTCTGTGTAAGCATTTAGGAGGCCATTTTGATTATAAAACAAGCGTGGGGTCCCTGTGATGCTTTAAAGAGACGCGGGGTGTGTTTCTGTATGTGAGGAGATCCTGAATCGATTGTCCCACATGTTAAAGTAGTATTGTGATGTTCATGTAAATGGAAATCAGTTCGTAATACTTCTTGGATCCCCACTCTAACCACTGTTAATTAGGCTTGTGGGCATTGTAAATATTCAGGGAAGAAAAATGCACGATCGTTGGAACTTGGAACAGCAGCCTCTCACTTACAGAACCTGGTCCCCTCGTTGTACCAGATGAGCTCTTTGTTGTCAGTATTCCCTGCTGTCCTCCATGGTCATGTTACTTGCACCACCCTCCTCCCAGATCCCTGCGTCGGCTCTTGGAAAGTTTCTGGTCGAGTCTGAGCGAAGAGCTGGGTCCTTACATCATCACTCTCGTGATCACAGTAGATGCTTCCTGGCTTTCCTGAGGCATCACCTGAAACACCCCCTCGCCTTCATTCTTCAGCTCCCATTCCACTCCAGATTTCAGATCTGCACTGAAAACCTGCCTTCTTTCATACAGCATTTGTGTAAGTGCAGTGAACATTGTAGTGCAGTTCTGAAGCTCCAGAGGGCAGCAGAGGTGCTCGGATTGAATTCCATTAAACTGACTTCTTAGGAATTTCGCATCTAAGTGAGGAACACTTAGGGTTGTTACCCCAGTGTCCTGGCCAAATTTCCCCCTGGCCTTTACCAATCATGGCCTCTAATCCCTGTCTCTGAATTGGCTTCATCACTCTTTTCTCCTCCCCACTGAGAGCTGATGTGTCGTGAGCGTACATCACATCATACAGATGGATGGTACACATTGGTGCTGAGAAGGGGAGTCCCCATTACCCCTATTATTGTAAAGCACTTTGAGTGCAGTGTCCAGAAAAGCGCTAAGTAAGTGTAAGTGATTATTTTTAACATGCTGCAAGTAAGGATAAATATCCTCTTATGGACATTACCTGTTGAGATTCATTATTATTGCTGATGGTTTGAGGTGCTGAAGATTACTTTATAATAACACTAGAATAATGCATCTTACATACTGTTTGAAGTAAACACACAAGCAACCAAACGTCTGTAGAGAGCCCTGTTATACTATAGATTTTCCCAAGAAAGAAAATGTTAAATGTCTGTAGGGGTCTATTGCACTGTTTATCTGCTAATTACCAGCTTGGTGATTATAGGAGGTGTAGTTGAGATGATTAAAGTGCACAATGGGGTGACTGTGTTGTTTAATGAGCATTCATTACGCAACCTGATGTGAGCCTTAAATCAGTGTCTTGAATTTGGTTGGGCCGAAGTACTGCTTAAGAAAACGGGCTGGAGGAGATGCAGGGTCCTACTCATGAGCTTTATTGTCTCGTCTTTAGTTCCATAGAGGGCTCTACACTGCCTCTGGCGTGACCAGTTCATTGTGGCGATTTCTCCTGTATGTCCTAGATATCGGCTGCCCAACCTGCAGCCCTTCCAGTCCTCTCCATTGCAGGACTTGGATCCAGCCAGATGCTTAACTGCTGCATGAATCCTGCTTATTGTTGGTTTCACAATTCAAGGGGAAAAAATGGTATTACAAAGTTTGGAGTATAGGGTGGAGGAATATTTCATATGAAGAGCAGATCTGCTGTGGGACTCTTTTATTTTATAAGGCACTGTACTTGGAGCGAATTGTTTCTCTTTCGCTGGTGAATTCAGCCCGGCAGCTAATCCTTCATTTCATTTTCTCTGTGTTTTCTCTGCCCTGCTCTGCCCTACCTTTTCTCTCCCCTCTCCTTCCGTCTTTCTTTCTCAGAGTTGCCCACTCCTCTGAAGAAGCGGCGGCTGTGCCCGGTGGACTCCTGCTTGTCGGAGAGCTCCACGCCCTGCGGCTCTCCCTGCGCCACGCCCACCCGTGCCGAGCCCCCGGAGTCGGGCCCCTCCCTCCCCGCCACGCCAGTCCGCACCCGGTCGGAGGACCGCGCCGACGCCTCCCCCATCCACACGCCCCAGGCGCCGCCTGCCCCTCCCCTCATCGAGGTGAGAGACACCTCCCCACCCGAACGCCGGTGCCGTGGGGGGCGTGGGCATCGGCAGGGGCGCCGGCCTGGCGCGCATGCTCGCTCCGGTGCTGTTCTGGACGGGGAGCCTGACACCTGTCTGTCGTTTTGTTCCCAGAACATCTCCTCTCCGGACAGTTCCCTAGAGGCCAGCCGGACGCCCAGCGCTCAGGAGGTGAGGGGTTAGGAGTCTGTGGGGCCCTGGGGTGGTGTTTGAGGGAGCCAGCGGCTCTTCCCCCTCCGCGTTCCCAAGATGGTCTTTTCTTTGGTGTCTAAGACAGACAGCATGTCAAGGGTGACGAGCTGGGAAATCGCGTGGGGCAGCACGAAACGCTGTCCCCACTGGCATCTTCTAATCCCCTCTGATTGTCTTTGCATTCTCGGCCACTTCCTGAGCGTGTCAGTATATACCGAAAGGAATGAAAACGGCAATATGTGTGGATAAATAAGTTGGGGTATTTTATCCTGCTTTTTCAGCCTTTTAATGAAACTTATCTGGCTATTTTAACGATTGTGTCTTGGCTATTGCACTAGACTTTTCTAGTTTGGTTGTTGGCAAGCACAAAGTTGTCTGTGCTCACCCAGTGTGCTGCTGGTGCTCGCCTGTGTGTGCCGTAACCCAGTCTATCTCCGACCCCCTCCCCAGACAACGGATCGGCCGCCCGGCGCTCGAGCGCCCACCCTGGCTGAGTCGCCCGCGCAGGAGATCAAGACAGTGGGCGCGCTGAGCCCGCGAACCCCCCGCCCCGAGCCCCAGGATTGCGGGGGGGAGACGGACCCAGGCGAGGTGGAAGGGTCCCCCGAGGGCGGCAAAGAGACCCCTCACACGGACTGCCTGGGGGAGCGTGGCCCCCCGACTCCCTCCTACCCTCCCTGGATGAAGAGCCCGGACAGGGGTCCCCTCTCCTTCTCCCCCGTGAACTCTAACCTGCGCGATCTCACGCCCTCGCACACTCTGGAGCTGGGTGGCGCCTTCCGCCCCACTGACCCCCCCGGGAGTAACTACAGCAGTGAGGGGGGCCTGTACTACCCCTGCGCCGAGGAAGGAGGCGCCCTGGGCTTCACGCGTGCCCTCGGGGGAGACGGCATAGCAGAAGGGGGTGGCGGCACCCCACAGAACCCCCCCCAGAAGAAAAAGGTGAGGATGAGGATAGGGGTCCCATTAAAACGGAGGTGGTTACGGACTGAGAAAATCTGCAGGAAGTGGTTATGATAATGCGAATAGTAACACACAGATCTGCACACAGAAACCCACAGTAGTCATCTGTGGGGCAGAGTGTTTGTCATTTAAAAAGTGCTCTACCACAGTTTCTAATGTTAACCAGCTTGTAAAGTATTTTGGTCAAATATTCCATCCATCCATCCTGTCCCCCTTCTTCCCTGTCCCTCGCCACAGGTGTCTCTGTTAGAATACCGGAAAAGGCAGAGGGAGGCAAGGCGGAGCGGCTCCAAGCCTGAGAGTGGGTCACCGCTGTCTACAGCGCCCCCTCTGGTGGGACTGTACAGCTCCGCTGGCGTGGAGCTCTGCCCCGTTTCCACGGAGACCGCCCCAGAGCCATCTGCGCCCCCCGCCGCAACCAGCACGGTCCCCGCCCTCGAGCCCGCGCACCCCAACGACAGCCCGGAGACTCCCCCGCAAGGGGACCGAGAGGGCGGAGAGGGGCCCTGGTACGTGCCTCAGTCGGGACCCCACTGCGGGGATGCGGTGTAATAGAAATAGGAAAAAACACACAAGGAGAGGAGACGGCAGAATCACACAATTACAATACAGTAGGGGAGTAAAGCTATTAAGCTCTTCTAAAAAGGAAAGGTTTTGAGTCTTGATTTGAAAGCGCTCAGGAAAGGTGATGCTCTGATATCCTTGGGGAGAGAATTCCAGAGCTCTGGGGCGCAGCAACAGAAGGCCCGATCACCCATAATATGTAAACGTATGAGACGTTCTGCAACTGGAGACTCAAGCAAAATGCCAAAACACCTGGTGGAGATCTCAGCTTCGTCACCTTGTGTGATGCGTGTCAACAGATGCATGTATCTGCTATTTACATGTATTCCCTTTTAGTTTCACCTTGGCCTGCAGCTTAGAAAACCAAGCAGGCACAATGGAAATTTGTGCACAATTAGACGGATACACAGCTTCTCAAAAGGAATGATCGCACATTTTCACCCGAGTGTTTATTTCATCTCTTCCCCTCCCCCAGGATGTCGTCCACATCGGTAGAGCAAGTGAGGGAGCGGAGTTACCATCGAGCCCTGCTGATGAGTGACCACCGCAAGGACAGGGACACGGGTGAGTCAGGGGTCTGCAG